GACTTAGATCAACCCAGAGGTTGTTTCAGGGTTTGATCTGTGAGTTAGCCTGTCCTGACTTAGATCAGCCCTGAGGTTGTTTCAGTGTTCGATCTGTTAGTTAGCCTGTTTGTAACCTGTGAGATTTATACTTACAGTCTATGAAATCAGTGACCCACACTCTTGGCCACAATCGTGCAAGACAGAGAGACAAACTAGGGCAATTGTTGGAGGAATTTGCAAGCTTACAAGACGAGGTGAGTAATGTAAGACGCCATTATCAGTCTGTCGTCCACAAATTTTTTTTCCTAATTTCCATTGCGTACACCAGCATATAGCACCTTTTACTTTTTGAAGTGAAAGCTATGCTTGCCTTTTTTGGATGGCATATTTTTCTTTGAAAATAAGCATAATATTTGGTTTTGTTCTTGACAGGCAGACAGAGCAGACGCTGAACTTCACACTCTGCTGACCAAATATGAGCCTCAGGTAAGCAAAACCTACCCCCCCCCCCTCCCCGACCCTGCACTGACTCGTTCAGACTCCTCATTTACCTACCCTATGTGAAACTCTACCAGGAATGTTTTCTATGGAAGCCCGGGGGACAAAAGATTCGTTCTGACGTAGCGTACTTATTTTTTCAGCGCCAGCACTTTGCGTGTTTTGGATCCTGGGTTCTCTATCACACCCTAAACATCATGGTCCAATACTTGACTTCTGGGTTTGAATTGGAGCTGTACAGTCCTTATGAATACCACTACATTTACTGGTAAGATGTCTGCTAGCAGGGTAAATAATCAGGGAGGGTGGAGCCCCCATCCCCCTCCTCCCTACCCCTCCCTGATAGATGAAATCTCATTTTCTCTCAGTTTGAATTCCGTATAAAAGAAGAAAAAAATTCCGCTCCCTACTTTTAAAGGTGCTCTGCCATCCCCCAGGAGGATAGGGTGGGTGTTTTTTTTTCTTTATTAGTTTTATTACTTTTTTTAAATGGCTTACATATTTATAGGTATTTAGACTTTCTTTTTGGATGGCACATGACGTGTCTTAATCGAGCAGAGAAGTTGCTACAAGCACAAGAAGCTGCTTTGGGTAAGAGAAGTTAATAATGAATGCATAGTTTTATTGATCTCCCTTACCTCCCCCTTCTCTCACTCCCTCTCTCCCTCCCTTCTTCCCTTTCTTCCTTCCATCCCTCCTTCCTTCCTTCCTCCCTCCCTCCCTCCCTCCTCCTTCTTTCCTTATATTTCTAACCAATGCATCTTATAGCATTTTATTGTAAACATTCCTGTTTCTGCTTCAACAGAACAAAAAAGTGGGAGAAGTGGGAAAAAGAATAAAAAGAAAAAGAAAGGCAAGTTCCCTATTCATACGTTCAGCACCACTTATAGTTAGCTTGCTGTGTTGCAAAGGATAATTGTATTCTACTGGCATATGTCAAGACACTTTTTTGCTTCGGTTTCACTCACTGTCACTGGAACAGAGGCAGATCAAGACATGCTGCGCTTATAACGTGCTCATACTCACGATACCACATTTTTTACAGCCAGCGAGAAAGCCATTCAAGAGCACCAAGGATGGCGCCATCTCTTCCAGGGTATGAGGTATCTCTGTCAAGGATATCTAAGGGTAAGAATTACGGGGCTTCCTGAACGTGCGCCACTGAGAAAGGAAAAATCGTTCAATTTTAACCCCCCTACAGTTATCTCTCATTCTTTCTTTTCTTTTCTGCGCATCTCTGTATTTTCATTTCTGGGCTTCCTATGAAAGTTTTCGGGAGAGACTGGGCTTTGTTTCAATTTTAGTCCCTCTCGGCCAAGTTATACAGAGGTAAACCATCAATAGGAAAATGTAGAAGAAGTATCTGCGTACCTAAAAAACGTTGCACTATTTTGTACAATTTTGTTAGTTAACGTTTTCACGGATATAATAATGATAATAATAATAATGATGATGAAGATGATGATGATAATAAAGATGATGATGTAGATGATGATGATGATAATAATAAAGATGATGATGATG